TGACCAGTTGGGTACAGCAATGATCAGTGCTTGGCCCCGAGGTGTATCAGTGATTTGGATGTAGGGGCCAACTGTAATAGTTCCAAGTTTGTAGATGATACAGAACTTGGTGACAATCAGAATGAGGAGGATGCAAAGACACTTCAAAGGGGTTTAGACAGCCAAGTGGGCAAAGAGCATGACAGATGGAATTGAAGGATGGATAAGTGTGAGGTAATTGACTTTGGTAGGAGAGACAAAGTTACAAAGTCCTTCTTAAACGGTGAGAGATTGGAAAGTGCTTAAATCTAAAGGGACCCAGCTGTCCTCGTTCTGAAAGCATGCAGGTTCAGCAAGCAATTTAGAAGGTAAACTGTATGTTAGCCTTTATCTTAAGAGGATTCAAGTACAGGAGCAAAGAAATCTTGCTTCAATCAAATAAAACACTGGACGAGACCACAGCTGGAGTACCATATGCAGTTCTGGTCCACTTTTCTAAGGAATGATATACTTTATGGAAAGAGTGCAGTGGAGATTTACCAGACTGATTTGTGGTGTGGTGGGACTGCCCTACTAGGTGAGCTTGAGGATGCTGAGCCTGTATTTAGAGGGCACCCAATGATGACATGATAGAAATGGTGTGCAGGGATAGCAGGAAAATTGGCACTAAGTAACAGAACCAGTGCAGAAACAGTGGGCCGAATGGCCTTCTTCCGCTCCATAACAATTCTATGATTCTCTATTCTTTGTTTCAAAGAATGAGAGGTGATCTCAGCCACTTAAAAGGGACAGACATAATGGATACAGAAAAGATCTTTCCCCTTGCTGTGGATTCTAGAGCTAGGAGAGACAGTTTCTGAATAAGGGCAAGGCAGTTAAAAGGCCGAGATGAAGAGAAACCTCTTCACTCAGAAGGTGGGGAATCTTTGGAATTCTCTATTTCATACAGCTGTGGAAACTCAGGTTGTTGAGTATATCCAAGTCAGAGACTAGGTTTTCGGATTACTGATAATATCACTCAAACATGACTTCCCTGATTTTGTAACCTATGCCTTGATTGATAAAAGCAAGGACCCAATATGCCGTTTTCATCACCCTACTAACATGACCGTGGCACAGAATATTCAAGGAATATAGAATGAGCACAAGATAATGGCACTGAGATGGATAATCAGGTGGAAGATGGAGCAGACTTGAGGTGCGAAATTACTTGAGAAGAGATATACCAGCACTGGAGGGGGTGCAGAGGAGATTCACTCGGTTGATTCCAGAGTTCAGAGGGTTGGATTATGAGGACAGACTGAGTAGGCTGGGATTATACTCATTGAAATTCAGAAGAATGAGGGGAGATGTTATAGAAACATGTAAGATTATGAAGGGAATAGGTAAGGTGGAGGCAGGGAGGTTGTTTCTGCTAACAGGTGAAACTAGGACTAGAGGGCACAGCCTCAAAATAAAGGGAAGCAGATGTAGGACTGAGGTCAGGAGGAACTTCTTCACCCAAAGGGTTGTGAATCTGTGGAATTCCCTGCCCAGTGAAGCGGTTGAAGCTACCTCGCTGAATGTGTTTAAGGCAAGGCTAGATAAATTTTTGAATAGTACAGGAATTAAGGGTTATGGTGAGCGGGCGGGTAAGTGGAGCTGAGTCTCAAAAAGATCAGCCATGATCTTATTAAATGGCGGGGCAGGCTCGAGGGGCCGGATGGCCTACTCCTGCTCCTAGTTCTTAAGTTCTTATGTAAATAGCCTACTTCTACTCCTATGTAAATTGCACGGAGGCAACTCCCACCACCAAAACATGTGCTAATTCTGGACATAGTGGGGAACACATAGTGCCCTGATAAGTTACAAGACTCAAGATTAGAATTCTTCATTTTGGTGTGAACGACCACCAGATTTTAAAATGCTCAACACAACGAGCTTAACTTGTAATGAATCACTGAGTCAGCATGTAGGTACAGCAAATACTCAGGAAGACAAATGAAATCTTGGTCTTTATTGCAGAGGGACCTAAGTAGGGATGTCTTGCTACGAACATAAAGGGCATTGGTGAGACCTCACCTGGAGTATTGTGCGCAGATGTGGTCATCTTCCCCAAGAAGGGAAGAAGGCTGAGCAGGGTGACCCTGTATTTAAGTTTTGAAGAATGAGATGTGATCATATTGAAACACCAGATTCTGAAGGGGCTTGACAGGGTGGACTTCGAGAGGATGTTCTCTCTCCTGGGTAATACAGGATGAAGGGCACAGTTTTAAAATAAAGCCTTGTCTCAATTATAATTGAGAAGGAGGATTTTCTTCCGAGAGTCATTACTCCATGGAATTCTCTTCTTCAGACAGACATGTCATTAAATATATTCAGGCAGTTGAGTGAGAGACATTTTTAAATCAACAGGGAATCAAAAAGTTACAGGGGCAGGCAGGAAAGTGGAGGGGAGGGAAGGAAAGTCTATGGCAAAGACAAAAAGAAAAAAAGGAGTATTTTCTATTCTAAATGTTTTCCATCTCTGTTTCTTTTTTAAAAAAAATGCACAAAAATCTGGTACCTGGATTGAAGCATTAAACACGTTGCCACACGGAGACCTGCCACTGATTCTGCTTCTTACAACTTCATACTGGCTTGAGAGCTAGTCAGGAGTCGTCTAATCTCAGAAAAAGCATTATTGCAGAAAAATACTATCGGCTGGGCACACAGAGTCTGTGGTGAGCTCTGCAAGGCAACAAATTTGATGATATTTCAGTATAAGCAGCCTATATTTTTAGAACCATTATAAGTTGAGAAAGACATACAGCAAGCAATTTGAGTAGAAAGTACTCCTCTGCTTTGTCTGATCTCACAAATGCAGGCTGAAGTCTAACCATTTTAATCTTGGGAATTTAGCATTTTACAAATGTAGCCTGTTCCCGATGTTTCATGTGCCAGGTGTGCAGAAAACTCACTGGTGATCATTAAACGTTTTATACACACACCACCTTGCTGCTATTATTTTTTTTAAAACAAGAGTCTCTCTCTTATGGCAGGGAAATAAATCATGGCAGAGCTAAATGGATGGCACTTGATGGACAAAAAAATACAGTAATTCAGCATGCTTTTAGTGTGATTTTGCCCAGAAACAGTAGCATTTCTAAACAGAGCAGAACAAATTCAGTGTATTTAATGCAAGTAACAGCATATCTCCCCTCTCTCCATTGCCAGATTGTTCACCAGATTATCACAGTTAGATTTGTCAAAGAGAGTCAACATCTCCTCAGTAACTTCACCAACCAACGCAACACATTTATCCTGTTCGTTGTTCAAAAATTGAAAGAAAACCCAATATTCTACATTGGGACAATCTCAGTTTAATGAATGAATGTCTCGAGGTAGGACATGGGGGCTGATGCCCTTAAATCAATGCTGCACTTTATAATGCTCCTTTGCCTCCCTCAAATACAACCCACCCTAATAATTTTAATAAACAAACCAAAATAGGTACTCTTGATCCAGAGATTAAGTTGCATGCGAGTACCCTTTGGTCAACTTCTCAAATGCCAAGGCCAGGAATGAGACAATTAAATGAAGAAGCTGCAAACATACTAATGTTCCACTAGTTATGTTTTAGAAGTACAGGAGTGACAATTCCTTACCAGTGCCACTTATCCTCCTTTCTACTCAATTATGAATATTGGCACTTGTCATTGACAAGGAGCTAAAGTGCTGCATTTCCCCCTTGAACTGTCCTTTAAGTGATCTGGAACAGGTTCAGCATTCATTGGTTGGCCGTTTGACAGAAGAAGAGATCCCAGTTAGGCCTAATTCAATCTTCATCCAGCACACTCATGCAATTTTAAGTGAAATAGGATTGATAGCGGAATCCCTGGATGTCTCCAACGCAAACCTCAAAACTTCAGGAGGGGCTAAGGTCATTCCTGTCATCATGTTAAAAACCTAAAACTTGAATATGAAGCAGCAATCCTAGTTTGTTTAGGTAACACCTCAGCAACTACACATGGTTCACTGGACTGCTGGAGAAGTATCACTTGTTATTAAGTTCAGTATCGCTCAACTTTGTTCCAGTGCTTGATGCACTGAGATATGCCCTATTAAACAATGCAGACTGCCCCAGACACCAGAGGCAAAGATATCATACATTTGGCTTCAGATCTGCCAAAAGAAACCATCTGGCCAGATTTTTGGTTTAACAACATAATGGGCCCAAAGGCCTCCTTCTGTGATATATATGTCTATGAATGTATCAGAAGTATTGCTTTATGGTACAAGATTGGTTCAGAGGATATTCTTTTCAGGACATACGGAGCCATAGTCCACAAAGGATCATTGCCATATCTCTTCATTAGAGAGGGACAATTAGTTCTGTATAGTTTGAGGTAATCACTCCACAAGCATGAGGTAAGATGAAGAGTCAGGACTCCATGAACTATCACAGCTGGTATGGGGATAGAATCTGTGTTGTTGACTTTATTTGGCACCAGGCGCTAGTCATTTAGCTAACTGAACTGATCAATCCCCTCATTACAGGATAATACTTTAGCAAAGGCTCCATAAATGAAGTGATTTAAGTAAAATCCATTTTGTCATGATTCTGCCATGCCAGTTTGTAAATTACTTGCATTGACAGACAGGGTAGTCACTTGGAAGCATTAAATAGTAAGGGTATTTAAGTGAATTTCCACAGTGAGTGCAAAATTCAAATATGCATCAAAATCTGCAGTTGCACTGCTTTGAAACTCTTAATATTCTTTACATCTGTGATAAAATTCTGGGTATCCTCCACAAATGAAAGTGAAATATGCTACAGTTTCAGTAAAACAGAAGTAAGTTTTCCATTTGTACATAACACAATTGTGCCTTGTGTACGTACAATATCAAAATGTTGTATCACACAGAAATCAAAACCAACTAGTTTAGCTCAAGAGAATGCAGAGCAGCACAGAAATGAAATGTGGACATTTAGTGCACACCAGACACCATTCTGTGTATACTGCATTCCTTAGCTACTACAGTACAATGCAAGTCCTTACCTGAACATTTCAGTAAGTTCTCCCTTAACCAGAGCAACAGTGACTGGGAATCCAATGCAGGCAGGTACCAGGTACAGTAGAGCAGGCTGACAATTAAAAGCAAAAACGAAAGAAAATATTATATCCTTTACATCAATCGTTTAAACCAAATAGCAACACATACAAAATAAAGTGCTCTTTAGCGAGGTGTACTTTGTTGCATTACGAGTGGGGTTCGCACAAATATTTTCAAATCAATTCGGATTCAGTCACATTTCTTGATGACAGCAGTTCACTTTCCTAGAAAGCAGGTCTTGCAAAACAAAACTGCACAGCATTTATTGATGCTTGGGATTTTATCCCTTGCTGTTGCTTCCTGTGTGCAGTTGAAGGAGTTTAGCTCAACATGATATTGCGTCTCAAACAAAACAAAAAACTTTCTATTAGGACAGAGACCCTTAAAGTCAATTTTTCACTAGATAAATTCTTAAACAATTTCTAGGTAGCAAACAGGTATTGAAATAAAAACTGCTTCCCCCAATAGTGGGAAAGAGATCACTGTTTTACGACCAAAAAATTAGGTCCAAAAAGAGTGCACCAACTGTGTGGGAGGTACATAGAAGAGGTGTTAGAATGACTACAGTCATGTTATTAACAAGAGAAGAGATGAAATAGCATTTAAAAGAACATACTTCAAGATAAAATTGTTGCATACCTGTTAGCCTATACAGTAGCAATCCATAAAAAAAATGCAACAAATACATAATTTCCAAAGAATAACTTTAGCAGTCAACATTGTGGCATGCTGCCCATTTACAAACATAGAAGAGCTCTACCCACTTAAACGGCTCATCAGGATATTGAAACAGTGAAAACCCATTTGTTTGAAATGACTAAGTAAACAAAAAAATGGCATCTTAATCTGTAAATAATCGTGGCTTTGTCATTTCATTAGCCCAGTTATTTTCTTGCTTGCTCTCACATGGTTTAATTAATTAAATGTCACCCCCACCCCAACAATATGTTGCAGTTTTGGTCCAATTTTCAGGCCAAAAAAAAACTAAAACAAAAAGATTCTTAAATTGGGAATAAACTGTATACCCAAGGTTTTGCCCTTAAAGATCTTTTAACACTAAGTATCCTGGAAGTGATTTTAAAGATTCTTTTTAGCCTTCTCTCAGACTGGACAGAGTGATGTTACAAAGAAATCAGAAAATTTCAGAAACACTCAGAATCTAGTATAGATTTAGAGTAATTTGGTGTGTGCAAACCGGATAGGCTAAAGGGCCTCTTCTGTACTGTATGGCTGTAGAATTTGTAAAAGAATAAGACCAAGATGTCAGATTTAGACCCTATAACTGATTTTTCAAAAAGAGTTGCAAAGGAATCCAAGTTTCAGCAAGAAATTTGTAATGACAACATAGAGTAGGTTAATGAAGGCACTAATTTAATAGCAGAAATATGAAAAGACACCATAATTTATCTAATTGCCTCATGGAATTACAGCAAAGATTTAAGTGGAGAGAGACGGTTTTCACAGTACCAACATGACGGAGGTTGCTTGGGAGGTACACATGCTTTCTACCAGATAGCACATGGCCGCAGAAAATTTGAATAATGGGAAATGAACACATTTGGTTTCATACTGCCAACAGGTAAAACAAAATAATTAAAACTATCCAAGGGACGGAAGAATTGACATATGCAGAAAACTAGTCCATCAGATAAACAGTACTTGGCAAATGCGTGTCTTCTATTTTTGCTAGCAGCATGTGAGATACAGTTATACAGTCATACAGCACGGAAACGGACCCTTCAGCCCAACTCATCCATGCTAACCAGGTTTCCTAAACTGAACTAGTACCATTTGCCTGTGTTTGGCCCATATCCCTCAACCATTCCCGTTCACATACCAGCCTAAGTGTCTTTTTAATGTTCTAACTGTACTCACCTTTACCACTTCTTGCGGCAGCTTGTTCCATATACACATCACCCTCTGAATGAAAAAGGCCCTTTTAAATCTTTCCCTTCTCACATTTAACCTATATTCCCTAGTTTTAGGCTCCCCCACCCTGGGGAAAAGATACTTGCTATTCACCTTGTCTATGCCCCTCATGATTTTATAAACCTCTACGAGGTTACCCCTCAGCCTCCGACGATCCAGGGGAAAAACGTCAGTCTATCCAGCCTTTCCTTAACTCAAACCCTTCAGCCTTAGTAACTTCCTTGTAAATGTTCTAAATGCTGCTTTGCAGTATGAATATCAATGCACCTCAAAAATTATGATACAGGCTCACTTGAACATCTAACAAGAAAGTAACATGGAATACAAATTTTATATGTTGAACCCAGATTGACAACTGTATACAAAAAAATGAAACCCGAAGTGCAAACATGAATCCAAAATGGGAATATTGTTTATTATAGTTGTTCACAACTTTTACACTCCATCTAATAACACTAACCGAGAAAGACAGACAACTTGAGTAGCAAGGTTTCAAATAAAATCAGCACTGACACACTAACAAGCAACCAACACAGGATTCAAAAATTGTAAACAACTGAGATTATGCAACTAGAATCAAAAAGGTATAAAACAGAAGGCCATTAAGCACATCTCACCTGAGCATGCTTGAAAGTGTGCATCACATAAATGGTAAGGCCAAGACCAAAGACATAAGCGAAGAAGCTAGTATAGAAGTATGTTCGGCTGTTCTTCTTCAAACTGGGCCAGAAGGAGCGGGTGGAGGACCGACAAAAAAAAAAATTAGCAAATCCTGCCAGGTATACAGATTATATTCAGCAGAATGTTGACCTCACAAGACACAATTAGTCTCAATTTCAGTACGAAATTCACATTAGCAAACGAGTAGACAGCCTGCAAGCATAAAATAAAGAATAAGCCACATTTAAAAATTTACGGTGGCACAATGGTTAGCACTCCCGCCTCATAGTGCCAGGGACCCGGGTTTGATTCCAGCCTTGGGTGACTGTATGAAGTTTGCACATTCTCCCCATGTCTGCCTGAGTTTCCTCCCACAGTCAAAAGATTTGCAGGTTAGGAATTTCCCCACAGTGTCCAGGGATGTGTTGGCTAGGTGGATTAGCCCACAAACATACACACAAACTCCTAAACACTCATTCTCTCTCTCCAGTTGCAGTGAAAACATTACTACTTTTGGTAATTTCTACTTCCTTTAAACCTAAACTCTTTCCTTCTAGCTTCACTACTTTACGTGTATGGTAACTTACAGAGTAGTTCAGTTTTATGAAGATTAACAAACTGAATCCAATATTAACTGAAATATAGGGCAGATCTCTTCCATTCTGAGTGGAAGGGGATTTCGACCATATTCTGTTCTGTTTATTCAAGCACTTGAACAGCTTACCTCACATCAAAACGAAGTAGCAGAGCAATGAAGATGCCTAAGGTTAAGAAAAACAACAGAGTTAGATTCCGCTCACAAAATAGAATTGAGATGTGATTAAAGTTAACTTCAAACTTGGAAAGAACTTTACATTGAAGGGTTACCAAATACTTGATCCATCTACACTAGACTTAAATGCACAAAATACTTCAGATACATGAGTGCTCAAGTGGCTAAAGCAGCATCCCACTATCCCCAACAATTGGGCTTAAAGTTAGTTAGACATATAATTTTCCTTGGGCTCGACTTCTTGCACATTTGGGGACACATGTGACTTTAATGAGTTACAGAGGCTTCCTGCTACCTCCCACAAGAGGCAATTCTTCATCATTCAGCCAAAAGGGTGCATACAACTGCAGAGAACATTTCAAGTAAGAGCAATGCCCCCAGCAACCAATGCATCCTTGTAACCTCTACGGGAATCAATGAACAAGATCAAGGGAAGGAAAATAGGATCATTTTCCCAGCTCCACACTCAAGTACAATAATAATGTACTATTGTGGCCCCAGTGGAATAGAAAATTGCTTTTCTATGGCTCACAGCACGACAGTCTAACAGGTCCTTGCAACTTAATTATTAGTTTCTATCTTAAAAAGTTTATCTCAGACCTTCAAAGATCATCCTTCTTTACATAACTAAGTCCATGATTTTAATCTCCACTGTACTGAGTGGAGAAACTGGTGTCGTGTGACTTCTGACTTTATCCACCCCAGTCCAACACAGGCACCTCCACATTGTGGCTACCATCAACACCACAAACTGCCAGCTCAAAGTGGACAGGAACTCCAAGATCACACCTATTGACACTGACATCAAATTTCTGCAGAGATGCAAGAGAGCAGAGAGGATTCTGAAAGGACTACAGATAACGAACACACTCAAGTCAACCACTTCACTTGACGAAGCAGCAGCGCTCCAAGAACTTGTGATTTCAAATAAACCTGTTGGACTATAACCTGGTGTCGTGTGACTTCTTACTTTATCATATTTATGTTCTAGAATTCTGTTACATCCATGAATGGTGGTGGACAATTAAAACAGCCAAGGTAGTTCCACAATATTTCAATACTCAAGGATGGAGGAGTCCAGTAAATTAAAAACGACAATGTTTACCCATTTACAACCATCTTCAGCCAGAAGTGCCAGGTACATGATTCAACTTTGCCTCCTCCTGAAATCCCCAGCATCACAGATTCCAGTCTTCAGCCAGTTTGATTTATTTCATATCATAAAGGAGAAAAGTTGAAGGCACCAGATACTGCAAAAACAAATGGGCCCTGACAACACGCCAACATTAGCACTGAAGATGTGTGCTCCAGAATGAGTTGTGCCCCTTTGATGAGCTGTCCCAGTACAACAACACTGGCATCCACTCAGTAGTGTGGAACACTGCCCAGGTGTGTCCTGTACACAAAATCCTAAAATGTTCGCAATCAGCAAAGTGAAGGAAGATGCCATTGACAGTACGATCAAGTAACTCATACACAGTGATAACCTGCTCACCGAATTTGAGTTTGAGTTCCACTGGAGCCTCAGCTCGAACTTATTACAGCCTAAGTCCAAACACAGAGCTGAACTCTATCGGTGAGGCAAGATGAGTAATTGCCCTTGACTTCAAGACACATCTAACACAGTGTAACATCAAGGAGTCCCAGAAAAACTCTTCAGATACTGAAACAATCAGTGTTCATGCGAGGCAACAGCTGGGCGCTGACTGAGAAATAGAAGGTAACATTTGTGTTACAGAAGTGCCAGGCAACGACCATGCTCAAGAATTTAACAATCACTCCCTGATATCAATGGCATTATCATCCCTAAATCTCCCACTATCAGCATCCTGGGGTTAACTGTTGGCTAGAAACTGGCCACTTTAAAAACAACTTCACTCACTGATTTGGTATCACTAGCTAAGCTAGCATTTAATTGCCAATCCTTACCGCCTGAGAAAGAGAGACAGTAAGCTTGCTTCTTGAACGGAAGTCAATGGGGAAGTAGGTATACCCATAGTCAGACGGGATACTCACAAGTAACAATGAAAGAATGGCTGTATAGCTGCAAGTCAGGAAGTGTGGGGCTTGAAGGAGAACCTACAACAGGTGGCAGCATACACTTGTATCTGCTGTCATTGCCCTTCTAGGTGGGGGAGGTTGTGGGTTTGGAAGGATCTGTCCAAAACCAAAGCTTGGTAAGTTATTGCAAGTGCATCTTGCAGATGGCATAAACTGCTCCTGGACTGCTTTATCTTGGATGATGCAGAACTTCTCAAATGTTCTTGGAGCTAAACAGAGTCAGGGGTATAATGGAATATTCGCCACTTGCCTGGATAGACGCAGTTCCAACAACACTCAAGAAGCTTGACACTAGATGTCAAAGCAGTCTGCTTGAATGGTACCCCAATCTAAACCTTTAATATTGACTCCCTCCACCAGGGACACAGTTCACATTGTTAGCACCATCTAGAAAATGCAATGCAGCAACTGAAAAGTTCCTTTGATAGCACTTTCATACACATGCCCTGCTCCACTGAGGAGGGTAACAGATCATAGAAACACCACCAGCCAAGGATTGTTTCAGACCACGCACCATCTTGACATGGAACATCACTGTTTGCTCACTGTCATTGGGTTAAAATCCTGGAGCTCACTTCCCAACATTATGTAACCACACCAGATGGACTACAGCAATTCAAGAAAGTGTCTCACTATCACATAGTCAAGGGCAATTAGGAATGGACAATAAGGGATCACCCAGTCAGTGACACCCACATCCTGTGAAAGAATGCAAGAAAGAGCCCTGTACATGAGACAATGCAACAATTCCATTATGTATTCTTTTCTGGGCATGAATGATGTCCATTTTGATGTGGACATTTGCATTCCCAAATAAACTCACTACCGGCCTCCAACAAATCCAAGTTATTCTTGCATTTTTATCAGCACAAGAGCAAAGATTAAGAGTAACAAAGTCTTATATCAGCTCCACTCTTAGCTACTTCAACACCATTAAGTACAGTTACCAACTTCCCATTTTTTGAAGTTTTGTACACAATCATATACATAAAATTTCACTTGCAACTGTTTCTCCTACTTGGACATTTGGTCCAAATCACAATGCCTCCTCAGTTTCTACTGCATTTCCAGGTTATCACACAAATAGATAAGGTGGTAAAGAAAGCATGTGGCATGCTTGCCTTTTATTGGTCAGGGAATTGAGCACAAGAGTCAAGATGTCATGTTACAGCTCTATAAGACCTTGGTTAGGCCATTTAGAGTACTGCATTCAATTCTAGTTGCCACATTACAGGAAGTATGTGGAGGCTCTGGAGAGGGTGCAGAACAGGTTTACCAGGATACTGCCTGGATTAAAGGGTATGAGCTCAGGTTGTTTTCTCTGGAGTGATGGAGGCCGAGGGGAGGCTTGATAGAAGTCTATAAAATTATGAGATGCATAGATGGGGTTGATGGTCACCATATTTCTCCCCCCCAGAGTTGAAATGTCTAATGCTAGGGGGCATGCTTTTAAGGCGAGACTGTGAAGTTCAAGAGGAGATGTGAGGGGCAAGTTTTTTTTTTTAAAAACAGAGTTTGAGGAGTCGGGAATGCGTTGCCAGGGTTGGTGGTGGAGACAGATACGATACGGGCATTTAAGGGACTTGTAGATAAGCACATGAATCTGCAAGGAATGGAGGGATACAGACAAAGGGCAGGCAGAAGGAATTAGCTTGATTTGATGTCATGCACGGCACAACATTACGGGCTGTACCGTTCTATGTTCTATCATTTGCAAATCTGATGACCTTGCACATTTTCTGAATCAGTACATCGTGGAAATTAGAAACAATGGCAGTGCCAGCATTAAGCCTCAAAGTATCACTTCTTACGTCTCATCACTCATTGTGCCAGGTAGGGTGGGGGGGTGGTGGTGGAGGAGGAGGAGGAGGAGACAAAGTAAGATTGCTGTGGTTGTGGACATCAGTCATCTCAGTTGCAGGGTAACTTTGCAGGAGTTCCTCAGTGGAGTCTCCCTGGCCCAACATTTTCAGCTGCTTCATCAATGGCCTTCCCTTCATTATAAAAGGTTAGAAGCGGGGATGCTCAGCCCCATTTGCAATTCCTCAGATATTGAAGCAGTCCATGTCTAAATTCAGCAAGACCTGTAAAATATTCAGGTTTGGGCTGACAAGTGACAAGTCATATTCATGACACACAAGTGGCAAGCAAATGTTCATCTCCAATGAGAGGGCGAGGGCGAGTCTCACTATCATACCCTGTCCTTCAATGTCATTATCCATCACCGAATACCCCACTAACATCATCCTAGGGGTTACCACTGACTAGAAACAGAACTAAACTAACCTTATAAACACTGTAGCTACAAGAGCAGGTCAGAGGTCAGGAATATTACAGCAAGTAACTCGCCTCCTGACTTCCCAATGCCTGTTCACTATCCACAAGTGACAGGATAGGAACATGAGGGGATACTCGCCATTTGCAGATGCAGCTCCAACAATCAGGAAGTTTAAGACACCTCAGTACGAAACAGCCCATTCAATGGCACCATGTTCACTTCTTCCATAACTGGCACAGCAGCAGCAGAGCATACCATCTACAAAATGTACTGAAGTAATTTGCCAAGGCTCCATAAATAGCACCCTTCAAAGCAATGACCACCACAATCTAGAAAGACAAGTGCTGCAAATGCACAGGAACACCACCTGCAAGTTACTCTTCAAGCCACTCAACAGCCCATCTTGGAAATATATCGCCATTCCGTCAGTGTCCTAGGTTAAAAAACTGGAACTCCCTATTGGCATTGGAAATAAACTGTAGCACAAGACAGAAGCTTAACGGCCCAGGTGACTAATTTTTTCCATTCTAAAAGTAGCCAGGCCAAACAGAAATTCTAACTTCAGTTTACAATCAATCGGAAACACCCTCACACATCCAACATGATTCCAGAACAGTGGGATCAAATGAAGTCAGTTGTACTCGAGATTTTTATGCCCAGATTGAGCATCATTAACACCAGGACCAGCTGGAGGAAAATAATGCTCAAGTGTGACCTCCTTGAACCAAATTAGCAAACTTCAATTCCTGCTAGCACAGCCCAAGATTGCAAGTCAAGAAGGCAGCATTTCAACACCCACCACTGATATCCAAAGGTGAATCCATTAGATAAAAGGACATGTGGTGGGAAGGGAATGTCTGAGGGTTCCAACAGTGTGCTGACAATCATGAAATGCAATGATTTTCTTTTGAAGGCACCTAGGCTAATAGACAAGACAATGGTTAAAAGGACAAAATCCACTCTGTTAAGGGGATGGTATCACTCTTAAGGATGATAATGTAATCCATCAAAGCCGAAACGAACATTATTCACAATTCCTTAACTGTGAAGTTGATACTCTACAGGATACACCCCAGTATCCTGTTGCAGAATCCATAGGTGAATCAGCATTGATAAGAGAGCTGTAACAAAGAAATGAGAAACAAACCTCGTGGGGCTTCAATTGTTAAAACTGGCCGTAACAGGTCCATCAAGATACATCACATTTTGAATCCAAATGTCATAACAATGAGGTGGAGCAATGGCAGAGGGAGGAGGGACATAAAAAGCAGATCTTGCATTCCAAATCCCACTGCCGCGGGAAATTCTACCCATATACCTAAAGATTTCTGGGTCAAGAATTGGCCTGTTGAGTCACACGAAGACCTGATGCAGAAAATTGTGGTCTAAGTAGATGTCACCCTCAGTGGGTAGCTGCAGTAATCAATACAGGCATTGACTTAGCAGGTTTTCAATTGACCAAGATCAGCTTTGAAACTGTCAACAATATAACTTCCATAGCTACATAAAAGTAAAACTCTGAACTGCTATTTAGGAGGAATATTTTTGTTTTAATTAATTCTTTCTCCTTGTAGCCATAACAGAATCTGGCAGTATGCAAATAATCGTCCAATTTCCTGACAAAGTTTCTGTTGCAACAATTAATTATGATTGGAAACAGCACTTCTTGAACAGCAGTTTGTTTTTCAATCATCTGCATTCACACAGATTTGCAGGTAGGCAGTGAGTAATTAGAAGCAACACAGCTCCAGGAACAACACAATGAATGATTCAAGTGCAAGGTTAAATACAGGCAGCCAATTACTTTAATTAACTCAAATCACAACAAATGATGTTTTTTGGCAGCAAGTTGTGAAACACGTGGAAACAGATCACAATTAATGTATCACTCGGAGGAGAAACACATGCCTGCAGCTTGTTTGATCAATGACATTTTTGGTCCACACTCTAAACTCCATTCCCTAACTTCAGACTCCATCCCTCGCCCTGGCAACAGTCTGAGATTAAGCCAGTCTGTTTACAATACTGAGGTTGCAGCTGATTCCAAGAGGAGCTTCAGACCCCATGCACGTCATCACTTACAACACTTATTTTCCAACACTAGAACATCATCCAACTTCCACTCCTATTTCAGCTCATCTGCTAAAAAATCTTCATTTAGGTCTTTGTTATCTCTAGAGTCAAACTACTTAAACACACGCTTTGGCAGTCTCCCAAACTCCATCCTATGTAAACCTGACAGCAAACAAAACTTTGCTCCAGATTACTAACTTGCAGCAAGCCTTGTTTCCCCATCACCCCTCAAACCATCTGAGGGAAGACAGCAGTATACCGGCAATGTCAGCGGATTGGTAATCCAGAGGCACAGGCTAAAGCTCTGGAGCCACAGACTCCACAGTATTGAGTTGAACGTCATCTCAGCAAATGGTCTCAACTAATGAAATCTGGAATTGAAAGTTAATCTCAGTATTAGTGATCACAATACTACTATCATAAAAATTCCATCTGGTTCACTCATGTTCACTGAAGCAAATCTGCCTTCCCTTTTCGGTCTGGCTTAGGTGCAACTCCAGACCTACAGCAACGTGGTCAACTCTTTACATGCCCAGTGAAATGGCCCAGCAAACTATTCAGTTAAGGATAATTAGGAATGGCCAACAAATGCTGGCCTTGCCAGCAAAGCCCACTAAGAATTTTCAAAATCCTACGCCAAGTAAAATAATTCCATAGCTTTAAGGCCCATACAAGGCACTAGATCAAGAGCCTTAGAAAACAGATTAAAGAAATAAAGTAGATTTCCACATCCTGACATCAGCAATCACTCCCCTGTTCCTGCCAGTGAGCCATAGTATTACCTGACCTGTGTTGCAATATCTACCAGGGAGCTGCCTAAAAAGCCATATCAGCAAGAATTTAAAGTTTTAGCAAAGATCTGTAGCTCGGATTGCGGATGAGGGTGCTGACTTGCTCGCCAAGCTGGCTTGTTTTTGTTCAGACGTTTCGTCACCATGCTAGGTGACATCATCAGTGGAGCCTCCAATGAAGCGATGTTATTCCACTCTGCGTGGAATTTATACTGTCCGGTCCGTTATGGTGAGTATTGTCATTTCCGGTTTTGTTCTGTACGGGTTTATATATAGGGTCCAATTCTATATGTTTATTAATTGAAGTATGGGTGGAGAACCATGCCTCTAGGAATTCCTGTGTGTGTCTATGTTTGGCTTGGGCTACCATGGTTACTTTGTCACAGTTAAACTGATGGCCTTCAATGCCTGAATGTACAGATATTAAGGAGAGTTCATCGTACCATTTTGCTGCTAGCTGATGTTCGTGTATTCTGATGGCTAGTTTCCTTCCTGTGTGTCCAATGTAAATGTTTGTGGCAGTCATTGCATGGTATTTTGTAATTCAGCAAGAATTCTAGGTTGTCTTCAAACTCATTCTACATTCCATTTTCTCTTTTACTGGGAAGCATTACACTCTAGAATGCATTAGGACAACAAACAAAATTCAATTAAACAGGAATTGGCACTCCAATATTGCCAGGATTTGCTGCATGACCATCTCCTCAGTTCTGTAATGCAGAATCCATTTCCTCTCATGCAATTAGCTCATTAAAAAGCTCATAATTGTGCAGCACATTCCAAACTGTACATGCATCGTTCTTCAGAACAGAGAATGGAAAATTACCTATAGAATGTACGGTAAAGAGACAGGTCATTCTGCCTAACTGGTTCACATTCTATTTGAACCTGCTCTTAAGACTTTTCATTCAATTATTTTCTATTCCTTTCTCCCTTGTGCACTATTTAGCTTCCCCTTAAATGCATCCGTGATACTTCTTTCCATATTCTAATCACTCTTTAGATAAAGAAGTTTCTTCCCCAAAGTAAAAATATCATGACATCTGCGTCTACTCAGTCAAATTCCTTCAAATCTTAAAAACCTCACTTTTCTAGATGGACAAAAAAAATCCCCAACCTGTTCAATCTTTCCTAATCCATCAGTTCAGCTGTCAGCCTTTACAATGTTGAGAAATAGGTTCAGACATTATCTGGATACCCTTTGCACCAGACAGGAGCCATTTGACACCTGATGGAACCAACACATCCTTTGCTTTAACGCACAAGTCGAATTGGCAATCAGGTTCAGAGTTATAATTCCACTCTGACACTGGGTATCGATGCCAAGCACCACAAGTGGTAATATTAACCATACCAAGAAAATCTTGGAAGTTGCTGCAGAAACACAACATTCAGGGTCACGGATTAAAATAGAGAGAGGCAATGACACTAATTGACCAGTCAGATAGAGAATCCGTTTGGTTGGGAGCTTCAAAGTATGAGTACCTTCTCTTACCTGGAATGACGATATCTCCCAAGCCAAGCATTGCAAAATTATTGGCTGCAAGTCCTTTCTCGAGAAGATCTTGAGGGAAAACCACTAAGAAAAACAACAGAAAATGAAATTGAGAAAAGGGACAAAATTGGTGTCTACTTTTGAGCTTGGGAGTGGGGGCAGACCTACATGATCAGACCCCTGACAATGCCTTCCAGCCAATGAAATGTTGAAGGGGAAAAACCAATTTCAGCACCCAAATTTCTTCAAACAATGTAATAACGACCAGATAACCCATTTCCTCGTGATGCCCTTTGAGGTCTAACTCCCCTGCTCTTCTTTGAAACGTCTGCCTGAAGACACAGATGGAACTTTGGTTTTAAGGCAAGTGTAAAATAAACTGAACCACCGACAGTGCAGCACTCCTTCATGGCTACACAGAAGCATCAGCTTTATTTTTGTGCTAAAGCTTTGACAGGGGGCCTGAATTGAGAACTTGTAAAAGAGGTCAAGCTACGTGATTCACTCTTTCCCATGTTATCTTCCATCCGCTAAATCTTTTCCCACTCAGTAAAGCTGTCCATATCCATTCACAGCCTGTGTCCTCTCAGCTGTCGTTTGCATCTAGCTATTCATTTTTGGTTAATCTGCACATTTTATTTGAATCCTTTTGTAGGTTGTGAGCAGATTCAGGGGGGTACTGGCAGCAGGATGCAGGAATTGAGGGTTTGAAAGATTTAAAAAAAAAAGACCAGAAAAGCTGCAACTTTCTCCACTGGAGTGGAGGATGTTGAGGGATGACCTTATAGAAGTTCATAAAATCATGAAGGGCATAGATAAGATGAATGACAAGGGTCTCTCCCTAGGGTAGGGGAGTTCAAAACAAGGGGGCATATTTTTAATGAGAGAGGAGAAAGATTTACAAAGGACATGGGGCAACATTTTGTTAAAAACAGAGTGGTTCATGTCTGGAATGAATGTCCAGACGAAGTGGTGATGCAGGTAGTTACAACATTTAAAAGATATTTGGATGGTTTGGAGGGATATGGGTCAAGCGCAGGAAGGTGGGACTAGTTTAGTTTGGGAGCATGGTCGGCGTGGACTGGTTGGACCAGGAAGTCTGTTTCCTGGCTGTACAACTCTATTACTGTAGGTGATACTGTTACCACCTGAGCTACCGTTGATACTGGGGAAGTCTGACCATTTTCTCTCACAGGCTATTTAGCAATCCTGCTGGAAATGGAGATCAGGCAAATGTTGGATTACATACTCAGATGATTCTCTCTCCCACCCCCATCACAAACAAACAGCCTGCCAATGCTCACCACTGCCATTAAACCAAAAAGAATTACTACTGTAGGCGAGTTAGTGGAGGGCTACTGGCGCCTGCGGATAACACTCAAACCACAAGTCAGCATCTTTAGTTCAGCCACTGAGGAATATGGTAAGAGTGTAGTGGAGGGCAAGCAGGGAGGGATAGAAACTCTTTATAAAGGAACAAACTTTCACAAAATGCTAGGTACATTCCTGCGCCAGACTGTATAAATACAGAGCAGCTGGGATATCCTGCAGTCTACAACAGGAATGTTTGCTTTTGACAATCTCATTCCAGTTCGCGCTGTGCACAGTGATACTACCCAACCACAGGCCATCTGGAATCCAACCACCAGCTCGAGTAATAACAGGCATTTTGCTGACAGTTTCTATTTCTGCCCTCTTGCAGCTGTATTGGTAAGCAGCAGGCTACCAGCCCAGCCAAATTGATCAAAAGTAAAATATCTGTTTATAAACTCTCCTTTTCTTTTAGAGGAAGTAGGAGAGACAAGGGCTGCTAATAAAGCCGCTAAGGCCCTGAATCTTAGAAGCAGTTTGTTATGATTACACAAATTATACTTTTAAAGCTTCGAGTATGCCAAATTCAAAATGAACATTTAAATCAAGTCATTACTATAAATCCCTGCATCCTAAGGAACTAGGAGGGATTTAGAATGCAATATAAATATCTCCTGGCCCAGGTATGAATTACATGTGTTTAAGAGCTTATTTAAGAATTTTGTTTATAAACCAGTCCCGCATACAGTCAATTCAAATTCACTTATCCGTTCCTTTTTTGTCTCTTTTTAAGAAAAGTCAAACGCAAAGCTGTCCTGCATCAGAAAAAAAAATTGCCAATGTGAAATAACTGCACAGAGGCTGGTATCCCATCACAATGTCACCCTTTATTTACTTGTGCACAGTACACTGGCTCTGACCAGCCAGTTCAGAGTAAATCCACTCAACTGAGGAGATTCTAATTTCCTGGTTATATTGGTCAGCCAGGGCTTTCCTGATTGGCCCAGGTTAACCACCCTAATCACAGGCTTTGTAATCAACAAGGTCCACGCAGCTCCAAATCACTACATTGTTAGATTCTGCAAATTGATCCCATCAAAAATCAAGCAAATCCTAGATTTTAAATTTCTTGTTTGCAAATCCCTCTATGGCCTTGTCCTTCATAATCTCTCATATCCTACTGCCTCACGATCTTCCAATCATAGTATCACAGTTTGTTCTAAAATACTCCTACGACTTTGCAACATTTTGTTACCTTAAAAAGATGATACATTGTTGTCACATATATTCTGACAAACTGCCCTCAATTTCAAAAGATTGCACATTATATCAAATTAGGCCATGAAAAACTTCAACTGCAGGTTAAAATTACAGAGAGATAAGATTTATAACGACACACTTAACTGAATTTGATATATGGTACAGAATTGTTCACTTGGAACAAGTTGTGAATAGGGGAAGTAAGTGTTCAGGTGCGGTTCTTGTGGTACAGTTGCAGTGTCCCTACCTCTGGGCCAGGAGGCTGGGCTCAATTTGCATATGTTCCAGAGGTTAGTAATAACATCTCCGAAAAAAAACTGTCGATGCTGTAAATCAGGAACAAAAACAGAAGTTGCTGGAAAAGCTCAGCATCTGAGAAGAAAAAAAAAATCAGAGTTAATGTTTCAGGTCTGGTGACCCTTCCTCAGAAACATTAAGTCTGATTTTTTTCTTCGCAGATGCTGCCAGACCTGCTGAGTTTTTCCAGCAACTTCTGTTTTTGTAACATCTCTGAAAAGGTTGATTAGAAAATATCTTAATCATTAAGGTTCAATTTAGAAAAAAAGCAGCTCAGTTGCTCACGAGCATGAAGAACTGTCTTTAGTAGGAATGTGCCTTCAGTCTGTTTTTGCCATAAGCCACCTTCATACCTTGTGACAGGAGTACCATACTTTTAGCTGTGGAGTGAGTCTGTGGACCAGAAAAAGTACTAAAGTGAGATATTTTTTCTACACCACAAGTGGTGCTTTTACCAGCTGAGAAGCTGCAATAATTTAAGAGGGAGAAGTAGCTACAATTACACAATAATGTCATTTATTATACACAAGCTGGCATCAATTGCACCTATTTGTTCACAATAGCCACATTTCTTTTAATCACCCCAAAATTCCATTAAGAGTTTTGGCCAAATCTGAATACTTTAGTGAAGTACAGCAAGTTTAAAATTCAGGAAGAGATGAATCTGACAAATATGAAATTGAACCATATCGATTCGAGTATGGCACAGCTCCATCTACAGGATGTATGTTGCGTAGCTTTGATAATATTGCTCTGGAAATGGATTTAGATACCACCTTGAAGTGATTGTAAATGGAAACATAAATTAAAATATGTTAGAATTCATTGCCAAATGGTGATTGATATTATTAGAAACATACCATAGGTAATGCATTAATCCTATTAATCAAAAGATTCCATAAAATGAATTGATCACAAATGTCATCTGTAGCTCAACTGGTAGTAAGCTCACCTGAGCCAGAAGGTTGTGGCTTGATGTCCCACTCCAGAACTTGAACAAGATCTTGAGTGACACTTCAGCGTAGCACTTCTGGTGTCCTTTGGATAACTGATTAAACAAAGGCCTTATCTGCCCTTCAGGTGGATGTAAAAATACAACAGCATGATCATTAAGAGGAGATGGGGAGTTAGTTCCTTTATTCATTCATGGGATGAGGGCATCGCTGGCTAGGCAGCATTTTTTGCCCATTCCTAATTGCCCAGAGGGCAGTCAAGAGTCAACCACGTTGCTGTGGGTCTGGAGTCACATGTAGGCCAGGCCAGGTAACAATGGCAGTTTCTTTCCCTGAAGGACATTAGTGAACCAGATGGGTTTTTCCAGCAATTGACAATGGATTCATGGTCATCATAAGATTCCTAATTCCAGATGTTTATTGAATTCAAATGCCACCATCTGCCATGGTGGGACCCGGAGCATTATCCGAGTCTCTGGATTAACAGTCCAATGATAAAACCACTAGGCCATCACCTCCCCAATGACCTGGCTAGATGTGTTTTAATCAACCTGTTCAGAGATGTTATGACACATGGGTGATGGATATCCGGAATTCGCTGCCTGAATTAGTGGTAGAGGCAGACACCCTAAACTCTTTCAACAAGTACCTGCACCTGCAGCTTAAGTGCTGTAAGCTGCAGGTCTATGGGCCATGTGCAGAAAGAGGCAATTAAAAAGGGCATCTGTGTGTCTGTATCAACATGGACAAGATGGGCCAAATGACTCCCCTCGGTGCTGTATCATTTGAATGGTTCCTACTTCTGGAGCAGGTGATCCTGAACCTGGGCCTCACAATTCAGAGTACCACTGTCCCATAAGAACTCTAAATTAATCCCTCAATCGATATCATAAAAAAAGCTCAGGGTGTGGTATGTAAATTGGCTGCCAAATTTTCTTCAACAGCGACTACACTTCATAAATAATTAATTGGTTGAAAACACTTGGACGGTCTGTAGTTGTGAAAGGCACTATATAAATGCAAGCATTTCTTGTTAGTGGTTGTTGCACATTAATAACCTGTTTGACTGTGTCCTTGCTAAAAGGACAACACCAAGGCTAATATTTACTCAGAAGCAATAGACAAGTCAGCATATAGTATACACATTTCTCAGAAGGGCAATACTATAATACTGTAAGGGCTATACTACATACTTTTGCAAATGTACATTTGACTGTTCAATTAATACAGCAAAAACACAAGTCTTTTTAGTGTCACAGGACAGGGAAAAGAAATGGAGGGAACAATAGAATTCATCGTTTGCACGAAAATCCCAAATGCCAAACTCCATCCTTTTAATATAATTGCCTGTAGTCTCGTGTGAGAGAGATTAAATCACTCATGTTTGCACTCATTGCTCTTCCAAAATAATTCACTCACCCTCCTCTGAAAGCAATTATAATCTTAGTACATCTGATGCCACTTGCATTAGTGCTCTCTGAAATAGTTTGCAAGTCACTCAGTTGTATCGAACAACCACACTTTCATCAGTTCAAAATAGGAGTTACAAGATCATGCTGCGGCTGTCCAAGACACTGGTTAGGCTACATTTGGAATATTGCGTTCAATTCAAGAAAGATGTTGTGAAACTTGAAAGGGTTCAGAAAAGATTTACAAGGATGTTAACCAGGGTTGGAGGGTTTTGAGCAAAGGGAAAGCCGAAAAAGCTGGAGCTCTTTTCCCTGGAGGCTGAGGGGTGACCTTACAGAGGTTTATAAAATCATGAGGGCATGGATAAGGTGAAGAGTCCTGGTCTTTTCCCCAGTGTAAGGCAGTCCAAAACTAGAAGGCATAGCTTTAAGATGGGAGGGGAAAGATTTAAAAAGGGACCTAAGGGGGCAACTTATTCATTCAGTGGGTGGTGCGTATACGGACTAAGCTGCCAGTAGAACTGGTGGATGCTGATGCAATTACAACATTTAAAAGGTATCTGGATGGGCATATGAACAGAAAGGGTTTAAGAGGGATATGGACCAAATACTGGCAAATGAGACTAGATTAGTTTAGGATATCTGGTTGGCATACACAAATTGGACCAAAGGGGTTGTTTCTGTGCTGTACATCTCTATGGCAAACAGAGATTGGAAATAAATGTTGCAATGACACCCATAGCCCATTAATGAACATAAACAAAAAAGGCCGAGGACAGCTTCCAATACGTTATGCGCCAATGCCAATGTCAGTGATGTTAAAGTGCATTAAATGGGAACAGATTCAGAACATATTTAGAAGCTGAATTAATAAGGCGATGAGGGATCACGGGCCAGTAACAAATCTGTAATCTCATTGCTTAGTATAAATTTTCACTTCACCATTACGATCAAGTTAGCAAACCAACCTGGGGTTCAACAAAGAGTACAAGGAATGTAAGGTACAACAACAGGTAAACCCAAAAATGAGGTACTAATAGCAGACAGGCCAACAGAGACAGAGGGCTGAAGTGACTTTAACCAAAGATGCTAAGTGCATGATCTAACTCTGCTCCATATGGAGGTCCCATTGAGGGGACCAAAACAAAAGGTTCCTGGGATGGTGGGACTGTCCTATGAAGAGAGTTTGGGTAATTTGACACAAACAGAAGTTGCTTGAAAAGCTCAGCAGGTCTGGTAGCTTCTGTGAGGAAAAATCAGAGTTAGCATTTTGAGTCTGGTGACCCTTCCTCAGAACTGATGGTAGCTAGGAAAATGTTGGTTTAAATCAGAGGGTAGGTTGCAGGGAGGGGGTAAGGACTAAACAATAGGTAGAGATAGAGCTCAAAGAGAGAGAGAAGAGCAGTTGGATAGACAAAGGAGTTGACAACGATCTGGCTAAGAGGGTAAATAGCTGTTAATAGGGTCTGTTAGTGACTAACAATAGACAGTGTAATGGTAGGCTATGTGATAACAAGGCCTGGTGTGTGGGGTAGGGGTCTAGGACATGGGAGAGTTCAGGCCCTAAAATTATTGAACTCTGTATGGAGACCGGAGGGCTGCAGGGTCCCCAAGCAGAAAATGAGGTGTTGTTCTTCCAGCTTGCGCTGAGCTTCGCTAGATCATTGCAACAAGCCTGAGACAGAGATATTGGCCAGGGATCAGCGTGATGTGTTCCAAGTGGCAGGCAACTGGAAGCTCAGGGTCTTTTTTGTGGACAGAATGTAGATGTTCTGCAAAGCGGCCCCCCAGTCTACACTTTGTTTCCCCAATATAGAGGGAACCATATTGTGAGCAGCGAACGCAGTAGACTAGATTCTGGGAATTGCAGGTAAAGTGCTACTTCACCTGGAAGGTATGTTTGGGCCCTTGGACACTGGAGAAGGAGGAGGTAAATGGGCAGGTGTTCCACCTTCGGCGAGTGCAAGGGAAGGTGCCGTGGGGCTGTTGGGGTGTGTTGGGAATGAAGGAAGAATGGACCAAGGTGTCCTGGAGGGAACAGTCCCTGTAGAAGGTGGTCAAGGGATGGAAGGAGAATGTGTGTCTGGTGGTGGCATCTTGCTGGAGGTGCCAGAAGCGGCACCCGATGATCTTCTGGACGTGGATGCTGATGGGATGGTACCACCAGGCCTTGTTATCACATAGTCTGCTCTTCTCTCTTTGGGCTCTATCCCCACCTCTCGTTTACTCGTTGGCAATCAATCACACAGCTAAACCTCATCATCTCTCTAGTTATAAAACAAAAGCACTTTCCGAGCAGAGTTATTAGCTAATAATTGGTCAGAGGGACTTTGCCTGAAGTTGCTCCGTACTTTGCCTCTGGATGGCCTCCAGCTGCATCAATGAGCCCAGAGAACAGTGTATTCAACACAAAGGCAGAAACTACTTTTGCTTCATCCACTGGACATAAACCAGCCTCACTTTGCAATCCTTATTCACCTACATATAGAGAATGGGGGACAGGATTAACTTAGAATTCCGGTACAAATAATCATTGACAATTCGAGTGCTTGATCCTCAATAGAGCAACTCAATAGTCAGCCAGACAATATTGGATATGAACGCAATGGTATTTTCAGGATAATTCATTAGGTATCCGGTAAAAAAACCCAATTAGGTTTAGCCTTTGTAGCTATTCACAAAACAAACAAATGTTGGAAGATTTCTTTCTCTACATTCATATCTACAAGAAATAAGTTAAATTAAATAGACTGATGTTTAAAATGGTTCATTAAATATTTCAAAACCTCATTTCAGGTTTAAAAAGAAACAATGACATCAGAAAGCTAATTTTTGAAAGTAGTTGTCCATTTTGTACACTGCAGCCCCCACTAGGAGTACTTACATTTAATTGGTGCTTCAAACGACTTGGCAACAGTTACCATGACATTTGTGCCAAACACCTGTAAAGGGAAAAAAAGGCTATTCTAGTATAAGCATCTAGTTTAACAGAATTTAAACCAAAAGAACTCCCAAAGACCAAATTATTACAGCTCTGCCTGTTGAAGAGTTAACAGCCAAACAAGATCAAAATGAGAAACAATTAACATTGTGATTCAAAGGTTCAGTTTCCATTTTTATTCAAAGTAAAAATGAATATTAAACATTGCAAGTGTAGAAAATACATTTTTAATACGCAATTATCTCTGAGATGCAACACTAAAATAACATGGCTGGCACAAATTCCCTACCCCGGGGAAAAGACCTTGGCTATTCACCTTACCAATGCTCATGAATTTATAAACCTCTATAAAGGTCATGCCTTAGCCTCCTACGACCCAAGGAAAAAAAGTCAGTCTATGCAGCCTCTCCTTATATCTCAAACCCTCCAATCTCAGAAATATCTTTATAAATGCTTTGCACCCTTTCCAGCCTAATAACATCCTTCCTATAGCAGGGCAACCAGAACTGTATGCAGTGCTCCAACATGTGGCCTTACCAATCTCTTGTACAGCCATAACATGATGTCACAACTCATGCGCTCAATGACTTGAGTGAAGGCGGCAAGCACGGCAAATGCTTGGTTCACCAGTCTTTCCGTGATGCCACTTTTGAGGAACAATATAACTGCACCCCTAGGTCTTGCTGTTCGACAACACTACCACAGCCCTGCCATTAACGATGCAAGTCCTGCCCTGGTTTGTCTTACAAAAATGCAACACCTCACATTTATCTAAATTAAATACCATCTGTCATTCCTCGGCCCACTGGCCCAGTTGATCAACATCCCAATTCTTAGATAACCTTCTTCACTGACCACTATAATACCACAAATTTTGGGGTCACCACAAACTTAATAACCACGTCTCCTATGTATGCAGCGACTGTAACAAGGTCAGCCAGGTGGACCTCAGAATAAGTTCCCTGACTGGTCCAGATTAACAGCCACAATTAGGAAGTTCTAGCTGACAAATATAAACAGGAGTATCAAAGATTCTGTTCACTCAGAGCTGGCTCCGAGGAAGCTGGATCAGTGTCAAGGACTCTCCACAAGCAAATAAAAGGTGTCTGGGTGACGGGATACTGGTCTCTGTAGAGCTGTACGTTTGTACTTTTAAATATTGCCCTCTAAGATGTTTGTTTGTCTTCCTGCAGAACAGAACGAATAAATCCTCCGTCCTAGAAATGCACATATTTCTGTACAAATTGTACTAAACTAATTGGTAGAATGGCATAAGCGAGTCACGTTGCAAATACAGATGGTTAATCGTAGAATTCCTCCAGTGTAGAAGCAGGCCATTCAGCCCATCGAGTCTACACCAATCCTCTGAAGAGCATCCAACCCAGAGCAAACCCTCTAATCCTGCATTTCGCACAGCTAGCCCACCTAACCTACACATCCCTGGACACTATGGGCAATCCACCTAACCTGCACATCTTTGGACTGTGGGAGGAAACTGGGGCACGTGGAGAAAACCCATGCAGAAATGGGGAGAACGTGCAAACTCCCAGCTGCCCAAGGGTGGAATCGAATCTGGGTTCATTGCACTGTGATGCAGCAGTGCTAACCACTGAGCCAGTACAAAATGTTTCAATTCAGTCAAGTGAAATGCACATTGTTAATAAAATTTACAGCAACTGAAACAGGCCATTCAATCCAACTGGTCCGTGTCTATTAATGTTCAACATGTGCCTCAACACTGGTGGCCAAAATTTCAATAAATTTAGCAATCTTTCCTTTCACTTCCAATCATCATTCAACCAAGTGGCAGAAGTGAAACAGCATGCCACATGTCTTTAGACTAAGAAAGATGCAGAAAAGTATCCAGCTGGCACGAAAGAGAAACCACTTACCCAGAACACATCATAGATAAAAAGTCCACCAAGGAGAATACAGCCTGTGCTGACATTGTTAAGGTGCAGGAGCTCAACACCATTAAGAGCAAATGCTAATCCAAACAGATTGTTGGCAATCCAATGCTGTAAGAGAATGCCCAATGAAGCATTAGAGAAAAAGACATTGACAATCACAACCCACTAAATGAAATAAACTTCACATTTTTTTTCCTCAATTTAAGTTCTCCACTTACTGCAATACTGCGGTATGTTCCAATAATACCCTAATATTAATCCAAACACTGCCAGTTTGGAGCAGTAAGCAGTGTCACCAGTCAGGTTAAACTCAAACACATTTGAAAGCCTTAACTACAAATAAGAACTTCAATAATTACAGTAGCATACTTGCTGCACTAGTGACATCGAAATGTCATACAACAGCAGCTTTGGATAAAGTGCAAAATCTTAATTTTTTTTAGCAACTTAGCTGTGCCTACAAACATATCCAGCATCACATCACCAAGCCTGACTTGGAAAGTTAAAATAGGTATAAACCACTTCCAGACCGTACATTACATTGCTGTGTCCAAAATCTTCCAAACTCTAATTTGGCTCAACATGTTAGACATATACATCTCAGTCTCATCTGCAGAGCAGAGTTGCTACAGCAGATGGAGAAATTAAGCTCAATATTTTTTACTCAAGCAAACCTTTTGTCATCAAGCAAATTCAGTTCAACACCAGTTTTTCCACCTGGAGTTCTCAATGAATAATTAATGTTAGAATGGGATTTTATGCTGTTTTGTTCACATTTTTCATTCCGAAATATAGCATTGTACCCAAATGTCAATTCATGTGTCAATCATGAAGCTTTTGTTTTTAAACACTTCTATCCCCACCATCTGTCAAAGTGCAATCCTGGTGAAACTCCACTTCTTCTGATTGTACCAGTTAAAATCTTGAACTGCTCCTTAAATATTTTATGATCACTTCAGTTGAACAAAAATGGTTAAAATGCAATATTAATTGCACATTGCAAGCAATCACCAGCTGTATGGCAGTTCAGAATGGATGTCTGCCAATTATTTTCTGTTAAATTCTCAAGTTCAACTACAGTCTCATAAAGTACACAATCCAATGTTGAATGCATACATACATACATTTAATGGCTAGAAAATTAAGGACCTATAGTTAAGATCATCATGTACCATTAAACATTCACATCCTGGTTATATCATTTTATCTGATTAGGCACAATACCAATTTTCTACATGTTATTCCCCAGGCAGTTACAATAATAAAACAGAGCAATTAGCAATAATGGCTTCTAGGTTTGCATTAGACATTGGCAAATGACCCAAAAACCTAGTTTGATGCATGTTAACAACCTACTTTTACTTACTTCACTCCCCATTCCTATCTATTTGGATCTATTTAGAGATAAATCTCCCAGCAGTCTTTCTATCCCAAAAGGTGCATGCACATAGTGATTATAATCTCATAGGCATGCCTACATTGCCCAAGTAGCCAATTTTTATGCTACAGTCCTGACAGAATGTCAAACTAATTGACTAGGAGAGGGGCAGTAAGAAGAGAAAACACACTGCCCAGGGATTAATAACTGTGAATGACAATTATAAAAGTGAAGGTGACTATTCAGATAAGCCAAGACCAGAAATGACATTGGGCCTGGGGTGGCGGGGGGAATCTTGAGATTTTCTTGGTGGGTTAACAAAGATGAGCTAATTCCTGATAACAATCATAGGCACTAGCGGATAGCCTAACCAATTCTTTCCATCATGTTTACTTTAGGGATATGGAGAACAATTCTGCCCTAAATGATCTCCTGCCCTGCTTCGCAACAACCACTGCATATACTCACTTGACCAATCAGGACAGTGCCCTTATAAGGATTAAATTCAAAAATGCATGTGGTAGCACCTGGTTATCTGTACACACAGTTCTGAACTATTCTTACCTTCTTCAGCAAATACCAGACTCCAACCACACTGCTGAAAGCCAAGCACACGAGATCTTTTGTGTCAAACTCATAGTTGACTATTTCTGGGAACATATAATAAATTACATCCTGGTTAAATCAAGTGTTTACATTTTCTTTAATTGTTGTTCATCAGGCGGTCTAACTCTATATATAAAACCTTTAAATACATAATATTGTAGCAATGGGTCAGAAAAGCTCCAAAATAGTCCTCTAAATAATCAAGTTTTCTGTATTATCAAAACAGACCACTTAACAGCACATCAGCAGAAAAATGGTCAATGCAACATCTTCAGCTATGGATACCAGGTCTTTAATTCTAAAGGCTTATTCTAAATCTTACTCAGCAATTGAAATTTAAATAATTGTTTAAATGCAACTGAAGGAGATAGTTGAGCAGTGGCGTTAACAGTGATCTTTCAGGACTAACTGGAGTCAGGAGGCTCTCAGAGGAATGGAAAATGGCTAATGTAACACCCATTAAAAAGGGAGGCAGGCAGGAGACAGGAAACTATAGACTGGTTAACCTGAACTAGGTCGTTCATGAGATTTGAGAATCCATTAGTAATGGAAGATTGCAAAGTATTTGGAAATGCACAGCAAAATAGGGCTGAGTCAGCACGGCTTGGTCAAGGGGAGGTCATGCCTGACAAATTCTTTGAGATGATGCTGAGAAAGTTAGACAAAAGGAGAGCCAGTGGTCATGATCTATTTGGATTTCCAGAAGGCTTTTGACAAGGTGCTTTAAAAGGAGGCTGCTGAAACAGATAGGAGTTCATGGTGTTAGGGCAAAGTACTGGCATGGATAGAGGATTGACTGACTGACTGACTGGAATAAGGCAGTCTGAAGCACAAAGGGACTAATGAATCCTTGTTCAGGATTCCCTAAAGGTTAACATGCAAATTCAGTTAGCGGTTTGGAAAGCAAATACAATGTTAGCATTCATTTGAAGAGGACTAGAATACGAGAACAGAGATGTACTGCTGAGACTGTGTAAGGCTTTGGTCAGACTACATGTGGAATATTGAGAGCAGTTTTGGGCCTTGATTCTGATGAAGGATGTGCTGGCATATACAGAGATCCAGAGGAGGTTCACAAGAACAATCCTGGGGACAAAGGGCTTGTCATATGAGGAGTTGAGAACTCTGGATTTGTACTTGATGGAATTTAGAAGGATGAGGGAGTATCTGATTAAGACTTAGACTGCTGAGAGGCCTAGATTGAGTGGACATGGAGAAGATGTTTCCAATAGGACAGTTTGGAACCCAAGTCTGGAGTTTAGCCTGAGAGTGAAAGGACAACTCTTCAAAACTGAGAGGAGGAGGAATTTCTTCAGCCAGAAAGTGGTTAATCTATGGAATTCATTGCCGCCAAGTCATTGAGGGTATTAAGACAAATAGACTGGTTCTTGATTAACAAGGGGATCAGGGGCTAGGGGAGAGAAGGCAGGATAATGGGGTTGAGAAACACGTCAGCCACGATCAAAAGCCGAATACGTAATTCGGCTCCTATGTCCTGTCTCATTCCCTCAAAAGCATCAGTTTAAAAAAAAAACACATTTTGTTGAGCTAATTTTCACATCTAATGCCTTGAATGGAAGTCAGTTGCAGGATTTAAAAAAAAAAAAGCATCATTTCCATCATTCTGAATTTGCTTACATCACTCCTAAATTTTTGGAAATTGGATTTGAAAGATTAAAGGGGCTATTCCAAAGGCAGTATTGTCGTATATTAACAAACTACTGAAAGACTATTGCAAATCTCAAGTAAGATTTGATGGAATTTATCACAACCATGGCTCTCCTCTGTACCATTCTTGTTCACAGCACCGACATGATCTGATTTCTAAGCTGCACCTGGTTAGATAATTTTCACAATACAGCCCTTACAACCCCGAATTGGGATGCAAGGAAAAAGAAAGAGGTCAGCCATTCTTGCCTGTAACTGCTGTCTAGTACCTCTTGTTTGTTGTAGTGTATGATTTTGGTACCCAGAGGTATGAGGCTGAAATCGGAATCATGGAAAGTTGTGAATGTCAACTGAATAGTTGTAGCAATTAACAGCAGAAAAGCAAGCCTGGGCGCTTTCAGACAGTCATAAAAATTCAACTAATATTGCTTGAATAAAGGTTTTTCCATCCTTTGCAGGATTTTATTCCCATATTATGTCAATCACTCAACGTCCTTCAAAGTTCAAGATGAAAATCAGACTTGATCACTTCAACAACCCATCAAACCAAAAGACCTCAATAACTTCAATCTGGATAACTCGGCAAAATTCTTTTTACTAACCCCCATTTGCAGAACTTTCCTAGTAAAGCAACAAGCCTGGCCAGTCTCATGTCAGCAACATCCATGTGTCAGCATTCAGGGCACAGCAGTTTACTTGATATTTGTTTCAACAGGCAGTTCAATAGCCACCCCCACCATGATCAGCACACAATTGCTGCAAGATGTACAATTGGTGCAGCACAGTGACTCACCCGAACTCACATTGCCTTCCACCTGCTGAATCTCTCGCATTTTAAACAGAAATTAATTCATGTGGGTGTTCCTGGCTAACCCAGTACTCAAATGTCTAGTACATGGTGGTGAGTTGCTGCAGTCCTTGTAGTCCTAAGTACAACTGAACAGCATTGCGGGTGGAAACATCACTCCCTTTGAATCAATACCAGCCGGATTTAAACATACAGAATATATCTAGTCAGCAAGTCAAAAATCTGGAAGGAGAAGCTACTTACTCCAGCATTAACACAGTTTCACTAGTGCCACAATCCTATTCTCACCTCTAAAAATGTACATGTGTGAGAAATGCGAATTGCTTTAGCTGGAAGACCCTCTCTGGTTGACTAACTTATCATCACTCACTATCCAGGTTATCTCGCGTGGTGACTTGATATGCAATCCTTTGATACCTCAACACTCTTAGGCAAAGGGAGAAAAGAGAGAGAAACAATTTAAATGCAGATGCACACTCAGCTATGCCAGTTCTTTTCTTTTCTCAATCTGTTACACAACAGAAGATGAAAGTGACCCTACATCACGCAGAGGGTGGTGCACGTGTATGGAATGAGCTGCTGTAGAAGTGGTGGAGGCTGGTACAATCACAACATTTAAAAGGCATCTGGATGGGTATATGAATAGGAAGGGTTTAGAGGGAAATGGGCTAAATACTGGAAAATGGTACTAGATTTATTTAGGATATCTGGTCAGCATGAGTGAGTTGGAGGGAAGGGTGTGTTTCCATGCTGTACTGCTCTGTGACTCTATAACCAAATAACACAAATGCTCGAGTAAACAAGGATGACAAGTACACAAAACTAACACAGCCCCTCAAAAGCAGGAGACAGTTGCAAAGTATCCTTCATATAGAATGGTATAACAGCAGTCCACATTTTAAAAAGGGAAAAAAAAAAGACCAGTCACAACAGTCCAAGCAATAACTCCTGAATTCAAGGTGATTGACAATCGTTCACCCTCAAGTCACCCAGGGCTGAAAAGTTCCATATCAATGCAGCGCAGCAGTATACATTAATCCCAAATAAGACACTTGTCTACATTGAAATTCCTTGCAAATGAGAGGTTATTTTATAATAATGTTACCACAGCAAAAAGACATACTACTTACCTTCCTTTGTTTCCCCTGTTCCCTGAGTGAACAGCAACTGATACTGTTTGTTTGGTAAATTGGTAGGAATAATTTTATTCATAGTTGGACTGAAACAAAAAAAGGTATTATTTAAATGATCAAGATTTAAGAGTTCCATTTGTACATTAATAACTGAAGATTTATCATATCTTTGAAAACTAGAATATGGAACATGACAAATTCCTTTTCAGTTGCTACACACTTTGTGGCCAGCCCTGACTGCACTGGGGAGTGGGCAGGTTTCCAAATCATCATCGATGCTGGGCACACAAACAGCTATAGAAGTACAACAATAGCTGATATACTACCCTACTGGTCCGAAACCAAGCAACCATTCAGCAAAATACGCACATCTGCACAATACAGCTGGGAATGAATGTTCAACATTACCAGTCTGTGCCAACTACATTACAGTTCCAACACGACATTAGACTTGTTAGGAAAATGCAAATAGTACCTACTCTTGATACCTTAATGACTTCATAGCCATACAGACCATAAAACTACCATGCTCAGTAAGTGGAAGGCTGGGAGCGCCTAGCGTTAATTGCTTGACAATACCATCGCTATTTAGTCACAAGTCAGGTTCGGGACAGTAGGAAGCAAGCGAAATTCAAGCCTGCAATTGCTCCTGCAAAAGACTCTATCATCTGGACGTTTCATTAGAAATACGTGAACTCAGCTGCCATGTGCAGTAAATAGCTTGTGTATGTATTTGAGGTTTGTCTGTGTAGGGGGGTGATAAACTGACAAAAAGGGAAATAGATGGTATGAATAAAAGCCTCTCTTTCAACACAAATGGATATAAACATTATCATTTCCTTCAATAATTTGGGTTAGTTAATGCAGCAGAGAGCGAACTTAAGGGTATAGACTAGTGAAACACTGGCTACACTCCTATCAGAATTTGTTCCTTTTTAAGATTTCATTTAATGTGATCAAATTCTCTTCCCTCCCCGAAGCTCCTAGGACACTGCCAAACTCTCTTCCATTGTCATTCCAATGTGACAAAAGGTGGTTGAGGTTTGGAACTCTCTTCCACAAACAGCACTTGATGCTATCTCAGTTGTTAAATTTAAGTCGGAGGTAGGCAATCTTTTAAGCAAATGATACCTAGAGATATGGGCCAAAGGCACATATATAGAGTTAGGCCATAGATCAGCCATGATCTCACTGAATGGCAGAACAGGTTCGAGGGGCTAAATGCCTGCACCTGTTCCTATGATGCTTCAGAATGCTTGAAGTATCAAACCTGTGTGGGTCAAGGTTCGTACACAGGAAAAGATTGATCTGTTCCGTGTTTGTAAGCTCTTTTCTGCTGTCTTTAATCCTGAGTACAAGGATAAAGGGCAGAAAAGTTTGTGTAAATCCATTGGTAACAATTATTTTTGAAGTGTAGTATCGGTTAAGCAAATATGACAGTTAACTTTAAGTCACGTGCCCTTAATCACCAAATGAGATAAACAGCAGCTCGGTTTTGTGGAAGATTGTGAAGCTTTAATCCTGTTCAGGCCACCAACAAAACCCTATTCTTCAAATACTGGCATGGGATCTTTTACATCTGTTTAACAGAAGAATAGGGCCGGAGTTTAAGGTATTCCGGAATACCACTGCTTTCTATCAGAAGACTCGTAGAACACAATGCTTTATTACAAGGGGAACTGAATAGGGAGATTATGCTTCAGTTATACAGGACGTTGGTGAGACCACTTCTGAAGTACTGTGCACAGTAATGTCACCATACTTATGGAAGGTTGACAGTGTTGGAAGCAGTTTGGGGAAATTTTAACTAGACTAACACCTGGAATGAGTCAATGCGTTATGAGGAAAGGCTAGACGGCTAGATCTGTATCCTCTGGAGTTTAGAGGAGTGAAACATAAGATCCTGAAGGGCTTGACTGGGCGGACGTGGATGAATCTCTTGTGGGACAATCTAGAACTAGGGGTTGTCCATTTAAGATAGAGATAAGAATATAATTTTTCTGAGGGCTGGCTATCTTTGGAATTTCCTTCATCAAAAGGCAACGGATGCAGAACCTTTAAATATTTTTAAGGCAGAGGTAGACAGATTCCTAATGACCAAGGGGATGAACAATAATCAAGGATATGCACAAATGCAGAGTTGAGGTTGAACATCATGGCTGGGCTGATTTTTTTTGAATGGCAGAGCAGGCTTGAAATGCCTACGCTTGCTCCTTGTTTACTCCTTTAATATCGCAACAAGAATCTGGCTTTAGATCATGGGCTCAATTCCTGAGTTTAGAACTTAGCATATTTGCCTTTGAATCAAATTGTATGACCCAAACTAAAACAACACCTGGAACCAGAAAAGAACGCAGGAACTTTTACAATGATGGGACAAAGGACCAAAGACCAAATCAGATCATTTTCTCCCCTGCTTTGCTTTTCCTCACTGCATTTGCAGCAACAAATGTAGTGTGCATGGTTTGGTCTTGAAAATTACTTTCCATTAGCAGCAATCTCATCTCAATGCCAAAAAATGTTAGAAGCTAAACATTTTACATACTTCTTTCCAGATTAGCTTGTCCTTTATCAAACATTTCAGTTCACCTGCTTCGAATTTCTTCGAACACTAGAAGATCAGATCATAAAACAAAAAGGACAACATATTGGAAGAAACTCTTCCCCATCTCTGCCTTAAATTGGAGACACCTTACTTTTGAACTATGCTGTCTAGTTTTAAGAACTCCCCCATGAGAGGAAATATCCTTTCAGTAGATATCATAGAGTGATAGACAGTCATAGTCACACAGCATAGAAATAGGACCTTCAGCCCACCATATCTGTACCAAAGTACACCCTACTTGACCCAAAGCCTACCATGCTCTAGCATTTTAAGTGCTCATCCAGATGCTTCTTCAATGTTGTGAGAATACCTGTCTCTACCACTACCACTCTCTCAGGCAGCACGTTCCATATGTCTACCACTCACGGAGTGAAAAGATTTTTCCTCAGATCCCCTCTAAACCACTTATTCCTCACCTTAAACTATGTTATCTGGTCCTGGATGAGTTGGCTATGGGGAAAAGATTCTCATGATCTACTCTATGTCTCTCATAATTTGGAAACCTCAGTCAGATCCCACTCCCCCCACCCAAACTCAGCTTCCATTGCTCCAAGGAAAACAAACTCAGCCTATCCAGTCTCTCCATAACTGAGGCCCTTCATCCTAGGCAACACCCTGGGGAATCTCTTCACCCTCTCCACTGCAATGACATCCTTCCAATAGTGTGCGTCCATTACTGTACATAGTATTCCACCTGCGACCTAATCAGTGTTTTATAAAACCTTGCTACATTCTATTGGCTAATGAAGGCAAGCATCCTGTATGCCTTCTTCACCAAACTGTCTACATATGCTAACACCTTTAAGGATCGAAGAGACCTTGGTTTACAAGTCCATTATTCCCAAGTGCTCCCTAAAGACCTACATACATGGTGCATACCCTTCCATTATTAGACCTCCCAAAATGCATCTCCTTGCCGTTATCAGGATCAAGTTGCATTTGCCACTACTTTGCCCAATTTATCCCAAAAGCATCCTCTTAAATAACACCACCAATTTTCATGTCATCCGCTAACTCACTAATTATACCTTCTACATTCACATCTAAGTCATTGAATGTACACAACAAACAGCGAAGGTCCCAGCACCAAACCCTCTGGCACACCACTGGTCACAGGCTTCCAATTACAAAAACAACCCTCTACAAATATCACTTTGGAGGGTCACTAATTTCCAAGGAATCATTTGCCAGTTCAAGTCAGCTTACTGGGGAGAGGAAGAAAATCTGATAAATGTAAAACGCAGTTTCAAGAACAGGATGTTATACTGAAAATTGAATTTTTGTTTTAAGTCCTAGGTATTCCATTGCATAAAATGTTGGTAAAGTCTCAGTTTTCTCTTATCAGCTTACTAGGATGGGTGCAGGAGTGAGATTTCACTTCAGTTCAAAATTTCTGATTTCCTTAAACTTGTGTGCCAATCATTATACCTTTCATTTTATTAAAAGCATGTTTTCTAAGTTTCTTTAAGTTGTCTAATCATTGTTGCAACAAGGTCTCCAAAGTTACAGTTAGTTGCATTTAACAGCCGGGCTGGTGTTGTTCAGTTAATTTTTCAAAAAGATGCTATCCAATACTAACTTCTGACATTTAAAATTAATAATTCAATTACTGTTGGCCAAACAGGGTTCTAAATTTCTACCAGTTTGTGAGGACTGTTACAATCTTGGTAGAACCCAGTCATGTTTTAAAAAATATGAAATCCTGGGTATTTATGAAAGAAACAAGCCAGTTTAAATGTAATTTTTTTAAACTATACAAGAATCAAAGCAAACACCAAATACTATCTATTTATGCTGTATCGATAGAATTCTCTCAGTGTGGAAACAAGTCCAACAAGTCCACACCAACCCTCCCACACAGACCCATTCCCCCCACCCTTCTCACAGGTAACGCACCTCATCTACACATGCCCGAACACTACGGTGATTTAGCATGGCCTACCCACCTAACTTGCATATCTTTGGACTATGGAGGTAAACCCACGCAGACACAGAGATCATTCAAACTCCACACGGTCACCCGAGGTTGGAATCAAACCTGGGTCCCTGGCACTGAAAGGCAGTAGGGCTAACCATCGAGCCACTGTGCCACCCCTGTACTTGAACATCCAGAATAAATATGTAGTAAACGTAAATTAACAAGCAAATTCTAGTCAAACTTAAACTATAAACCACACTTTAAATGACAGATGGAATCAAGGCAAATCTTATGAATTAGTTAAGCAGTCCACTCAGATCTCAGTTACAAAGTACCTCCAACTCTGACTTCCTCAGGTGTAATTTCAGCTACTCTCCTTCCTGGAGCTCATCTGAATCCCAGCCAATAGCAGCACACAATGGGTTCCAAGGACATGGCTATGCCACAAATGATGGACATCCGTAGAATCTGCTCAACTCAGTTTAAATGACACTGATCCAATGTTACCTTCAAATAACAAAATGCTGCAGCAATTTCTGTGATCGAGACTGTTGTCTTCTTCAGCTAGTCTGTACTTAGCCAC